CGCTTTGTTTTTGCCCTGATATTCAAGACGATAAGACGATGAACTATCAATTTGTTTGTCACGAACATAAACACGAAATGTGAACAGGTGGACGTGATGTATTGCTAACCAAAGTGACGTCGCTTAGCACGTGTACCCTAGGGTAAAGTCCTGGGCTAACCAAGACTACCATCCTTCTGGGGTTTGGTTATTGGTTCAATGTTGGTCTGCTTGCGACTCTGGTACGAATTTGACGCTATGGCGCATCTCAAAAACGGCTTGCTCAAACCTCACGGCTCTGTTATAGTTCCTATTTCCTACTACTTTGTCATTTACTCTCTACTTTCGCAAACGAACGAGGACCGTGGTTTTATTTATTCAAAGCGTAGTTCAGAGTCGTGACATCGGATGACGTACTCCAGCGATGCAAACTCGGAGAAATTGTCCTTAAGGGACGAGAAGATCGTGTCCGACGAGTTCATCACCCCTGGAGAAATACTCAACAAGCTAGGTACTTTATTCACATTTTTTAGGAGTTTTGGGCGCGGTTCGGTTTGGTGGCTGCTGGGGGCATTTCGCTAGTTTCCATCGGTCACTGCCGATGCCTCCCGTAGGTGCCCCTTAAATTTTTGTGAAGCTATGCAAAATAGGAGCTTCGTTTGTACTTGACAAGAACTGATAGATCTCACCAATGTGTGAGCTGTGAAAATAACAGGAACTAGCCCAAAGAGCAAAAAACTAGCCGAAAGAGCGTAAGTGCGAAGTGCCCTTCCCAAGCCGAACAGCGTCAATTTTTGTTGACTGAATCGTTGCAGCTTTTGGTAAACCTTTCCGAGTTCGAAATTTCATTGCGTTCATCCTCACTTCACACCCTTAGCACAAAACAGGAGACAACTCAGTTCTATAGGAAATGGTACCGTTTCCCAGCTCCTTCATAACTTGGGCCACTTCCCTTACCCCATCCCCCACCCAACAGGGCAAAATTAGCTCTTTACTTTTGCAGGACGGCTTGATTGGAAGATTAGATCAAAGATTATAAGTTAAAAGGTTCTAGCATGTGTCTTGGATCAATCCTTTTGGGAAGCGACGAGCATCCCCATTTAGGAACCGTTGATGACCTTTGCAGGCGATATAGGTTGCTAAATTACAAGTAAAGCAAGGGGTGGGGAACACCCCAAGTCGTTTAAACAATTCAGGTGGTTTTTCCAGGGCAACTTTCCTCTTTCCCGCGGCAAAAAAATGTTTTTTGGTCCTTTGCCGGGGGAAAAAAAATCCTTGGCCTAGCAAGTAAAACGATATTCTTTGTGGGAAGAAAATTTAGGCCCAAACAGGTTTTTGCGCGGGGCCTTCTGGACAAAAAAAAATGGGGTATACCCCACCCTACACCTTACACCGCGCGCCATTTTAAAAAAAAAAAACCTTTTTTTAATTTTAAGTGTGGGAAAGGGACTCTAATTTTTTCTTCGGGGCCTTAATTGCGACCATCTGGGGCTTTTTTTTTTTCGCAATTCAAGCTTTTTGGTATTTCATTTTTAAAAAAACAAAAAAACTTAGGGGGGCGGGGGCCCCCTTTGGGGGGGACGGGCCAACCGGTCCCGCGAATAGAGTTACTCCGATGTTGAATATGGCTGGTTAGAGTGGTCCGCGACGAACAAGCTTGTACCGGTTTCGCGGTAGGAACTTCTATGAGAGGGGCGCTTTAGCGCAGTATAGGTCCGTGGCTCTCCTTTTTTCCAAGTCGTAGAAATGTTGTTTGTTGTAGAAATGTTTGTAGTCGTAGAAATGTTTCCAGTTGTTTCCATCGTAGAAATCTTATCGGTGAATCAGCCGTGCATATGAGGGCGTAGTTTTGGAGATAGAGTTGATTGGGCACGTACAAACTGGGATCGAAATGGGTTCTATCTAGGGCAGGTGGCATGTTTTTTGTGCTTTTTTTGTTCACAGTCGAGTTACTCAACCCCTTGTCGTCTATATGGAACCCCCTAATCCACCATCTGAGATGGCGAGTAATCGCGGGTTCTTCCTTTAAGCGCAGGAAGATGCGTGACGCGTCCCAGAAGATTTCAGCAGCCCTCTAGCTTTACAGCTCTGTCGTCACACTTCGAATACACTCACTCAGCTCCGTTGCTTTATCAGCTCAAAATCCTCGCGAACAGAAACAAAGGAATGCTGCCTTTAGAGTGATAGCAAAGTGCAAGGGATAAGGCCTCGCATTACAATGAAAACCATGCAGATTATCTTGCTATGCTTGATAATCCCACATATTCCCATATATTTATTAACAGTAATCAGTTGTAAACACAGGATTCTAATGAATTTTCATGGGAAACAGGTTCAGCAGAGTGATTCCAGTTCCTATTTTGCACATGCTCTAAGACGGAAGCTGAGCAGGAATTTCCCGGTGGGTG